AAGACGCTACTAAATGGCAAAAATTCAAACAGGATTCTGTACCTAACATTTAATTAGGTCATGACAATCCAATTGCCATCTTCCGTGTGACTAATGATTAGGACATACAGGAAACTGAGCGTGTAGCTGAAGTGTAATGCCACCAAGTCTTATACAAAATACCATTTAGTTAAAAATGTACCGTGGATTATGAGTTGCTTGCTAATAAAGTAGTAACCATTTCAAGCAAGTCCTCCATGTTGACAAATGTATTCTACAAAATGCCTTAGGATTTAATATTTGGACCTATGTAAATATTTTGAAAGAAAGAGCATTATATCTGTAAGCTTGTAAAATGAGACTGGAATATATAAAAATATAAATGCATGAAGGAAAAAAAAAAAAAAGGTTTCTGGGGCACTCCACCCAGCAATAAAATGCAGCCACCATTACTGCAAAACAACTGTTGCAGTGGTTTTTTTTAAGAGAGAAGAACAGTGGTTTATGGCCTGGATTATGCTGTATCTATGTTAAAGTTGCCATTCCATTTTTGGACAGGCAGAATTAAATTGCTCAAACTGTACTTCAACACTATGGCCTTGAAGAGAAGCCTGCCCTCCATTCTCTTGCAAAAATGCTAGGAGATCTGTTTCATGACCCGAAACATTAACATCTCTAGGAGGAGATGTTAACAGGCAGGGGCTTAACACCATGTTGTAACATTTGAGTGTGGAAGACAGAAGAGTACCATCTACCTACTTATTTACCAAAATCACAATTCACATGATTTTGGTAAATCACAGTCTTTCACTTGGATCCAACAGGGAAAGTCAATCTAGAACAAAATGAGCACTTTTCCTCCCATCTTGCTTCCCCCAATACCAAGCTCATTGAAAAAAGTAGTTTTTCTGTTTTGGAGCCCAGATCCAATCCCGCCAGAAAGGTTCCACCCAAAGGGAAAACAAAGCCCATGAAAGCAACCACTTAAACACAGGTATATCAGCAGTGATGCATCAGTACCCATTTTACTGTGGGTAGCAATGAAATCACGTGAGTTACTGACATACATGCAGAGAGCTTATACATAGCATTTCAGCTGCCCACAGGTCCCACCCCTCTGCCCAAGTAAAGCAGGACTGAACAGAACTCCTCCCACTAGTCAAGTGACATGAGATCCAATACGGACTAAACAGACTGAGGGTCAGCTACTCAATCACTAACAGCAAGTGGATATGAAGGCATCCATGTGAAAACTGAAACCCACAAACACTGCTCTGCATGAAAGTTTTAACTAGATCACAGGAGAGAAATTATTTTTATATTCTAAAACTAAATGAAAGTATCAGTTTAAGCCACTGTTGTTAGTGGCACACAAGCAAACTTCAAAGTGGCCCTCAGAGATGAGAACAGAGGACTTCATAACCTCATGAGAAAAGACTCCTACAGCCAGATGGGGAAACAATAAACAGAAAATAAAGAAGAACATAGACACCGGTCATTATTTGATTCACAATTTGCTGTCACTCCCAGGTGGGTCTCAGACTGCTGTTATCTGGAAGGCAGCTGCACAGTGCTGTGTATAAAGAATAGAAGAAGGGATCAAGTTTTCTGAAAGCACTTGCATCTCACTAAATTTAGTGACATTTCACTAAGATGCTTAAGCACCCATCATTTTGGAAAATAAGACACAGGTATTTAAGTCACTTGAGTGAGTAAAAATATTCCAAGCCCATCCCACGCTTGTGGGTTGTGTACACTATGGAGCCTCCGCTGCTAAAGCCATGTCAGCAAAGCCCCTAGTGAACACACAGGTTATGCTGACAGAAGGTGTCCTCTCTCCCCCCACCCATAGTGAACAACACCAGCTGAGAGGAGCGCTCTTTTGTCCGTCCAGGAGTCACACCACTGGCATGGATCTTTTCACACTTGTAGCTAATGCACTATACTGGTAAAACTTGGTAGCCAAGCCCTAAACTTGTGATTAAAAGCACCGTAAGCTTTATTTTCTCTGAATTTTCAGAACTGGCAGGGGAGGAAGGAGAGCAACAAAAATGGGACAGATTTTGGCTGCCACTCCCACTGGCAGCATTTTTGGCTACCACTGAGAAAGACATACTTATACACTGTTGAGGAGGAAATAAATAGAACATTAGCCCACTTTAAAAAGGTGGTAAAACAACAAGCAGACTGACAAAGAAAGGAGCTCATCTTGGAGACTAAATTATCAACAAGAATGGTAATCTGTTGATAGAGAGTGCTTACTCTATAAAACTACTCCGGCATTCCCACAAATGGCAGGAAGGTGACTGCAGAGAAGACGAGCAGTGTTTTCTGGCCCTACTGGTGATGAGCTGAAGGGGACTTTATGCTGATCACGTATTATAGTTCTGCAAGTATTTTGAAGGGAGGGTTATTGTGGGTCCCCTACAATGAGGCTTATACCCTTCTCTAGGTTTATACCCTTCTTCAGGTACTAAGGAATGACATCTGTTAGGACTCTACTTCTGAAGAGTGAGAAGCATCTACAGAATAAGCCATAACAGGCCAAGCATCAAGTATTTCCCCCAACATTTTTCCTGAGAACTGCTACAAAGTCCTCACCCAGCTGCGTTCCAAGGGAAAGTGCAAAATTTGAACAAGTGTGTTAGAGCAACAGTTCCAGGGGTTATGCCAGGCCCCATCCTGCAGCTGGATCTATTCCCACGTTGCTGCACTGACTTCAGTGTCGCTCTGCATAGGCCCAGGGCTTAACTTCAGACATGGTTCCTGTTGAATGGACTGTCAGTGTTCATGGAGAAAGTCCAATTTAAAAAGCATGGCAAGCTACAGGACTTGTTCAAAGCAAATTTGGCCAAGTGCTCAAAATATGCATGCTGAAGTAATTAAAAAGCAAAGCTGACCGCAGCATGCTTGAGCCATTTATCTAAAACATACCAAAAAGACTGAGGATTGTGTCTACTCAGAGGAAACCGATCCTTTTTCACCCCTCCACGTTAGTTAAATCTAGGCAAAAAGAAAAACAAAGATCACACTGGACTCCCACCCAGGCACTCACTTCCCATTCTAACTTCAACTCTTTCCTTTCCCCTAGAGAAAAGTTTATTTAGAATAAAATAGAACAAGAAAAAATTTATACAGATTTCTTCTGAAAAAATAAATCTAGTTCTCCGTTATGTTTCTATGATTTATTCAAACATAATGGATCACCATTATAATTATTATAGCTAAAAAACAAACAATCTGAGCCCTTTTCTGTATAGCACTGACTTGTTGCTATACCCAATAAAGAGCACGCACACTTGGAATGTACACAGTGAAAGAAAAAGCCTAAGTGAAGCTCTTGTCCTCCTCCACTACTATGCATTAACTATAAAAATAAGATTTAGGCAACAACCAGAAAAAGTTTCAAGTTTCAATAACTAACTCACTATCAATGCCCCAAGTTTGCACTGGCACAAGAAATGCGGAGCTTACAATCTAGAAAAGCGTTCTCCTTCTGGCCGAGCGGGTAATACAGTTCATTTGTTCTCGCCTAACTTTTGTGCAGAAGAACCTCCTTCTGGCAAGACGAAGCTTTTAAAACTAGATCCTTTCAAGTGCTTTGAGAACTCGTGTAGCCAACTTAAACTTCTGACGGAAAATTAAAACTCTGTAGCAAGGCAGTCTTAGAAAAAAAATTCTTAAATCAATACCGAGGGGAGAGAGAGACAGAGACATTACCAGATCGTACAGATCTACACACACACACTTTTGGAAATAAAAAAGTACTAATCTAGCTTTTCCAAGCTCCAAATGAACATATTAAAACACCATATGGTGCCTCAAAAAATAGGCTATCTACAGAGAAATAAAGTTGAATTTCTTTTGTAAACAGGAACGCTTTTAGTCCTGAAATCTCTGCAGACTTCTCCCGTTCTTCAATAAAACTCTTTTTTCTAAAAAGAAAGAAAGAAAGAAAGCAACCCCCCTCCGCACAAAGACCCTTCCTTTGCAATGCAGGATCTTCCCTGGAAGTTGGCTCGCAGAGTGAAACACCCGCCCTACAAAACAGCCTTGTGCTAGTGCAACATAAATATACCTTAACAAGACGGCTAGAGCCCAGCGTCCTTCCTTTCCAGGCATCAATAAATAAGCAGCGACCTTCAGCCTAAGTCCCGAACAACTCTTTTGTCAACAGCCCCTCCTAACCTCTGGGGCCAGGGCCTCCCTGCGCCCCAAAGAGCCGAGAGGCGTGGGGCGAGGAGCGGGGCAGCTCTCCCCGGGGGGCTCCCGCTGCTGCGGGCGGCCGGGCCCTTCTCGTCCTGGCTCGGGCCCCTCAGCAGGCGCTGGTCTCGGGCGCGGCGGAGGGCTCGGCGGGGC